AAATATTATTTTGAGACTATAGAATAATCAATATTGTGTGATTTGAAGGGATAAACTTACTATTATTACTAATTTATTCTCCACTAAATAAGAAGGAAACATACAAAGTTTATAATAGTGTTTCTTAATTGGTACACTATATACTAAACTTTAGTGCCCATTTTGATAAATTATTGTTTTGAACCAGAAGTTCAATACTCTTATATTTTATTGTTAAGCAAATCCAGTTAGATCATTACTGGATTAATAATAATGCGAAATTGAGAATTCAAACATTCAATGAAGAACCAAAAGATTCTTCAATCCAACAAATTCCTATATAATATTTGTTCTTTTTTATAGAAAATTGGTTATCACTAGCTAAAATAGGGATTGAATTCCCTATATTTCTGAAGATTAATCAGTGTAATAAATGCGCCCCCATGTATGAGGAAATTGATTTCAGTTTTGTTGTGTTTTCTTTTTCTTATGTTTAGAATTGTTTTGTAGGTTGTTACAATTGAGTTTTGTTTGACTATAGAAAGTTGTGAATTGGGTATGAAATTCTCAATTGTGTTTTGTTTAATTCCTAGAGGAATGAGTAAAAACATGAGTTTTGGTAAATATTTTATCTTATAGGAGTTTCATCAACTAGTCTTGTGCAGAATTGGAAATAATTGATAGCAAAATGGTGCAAAATCAAAACTTAGAGTTGATTTTTCTATATCTTCTTTGTTTCTAGTTTTACTTTTTTCTTTCTGGCTTTTTGTGAAATTGGGTTATGAAGTATTTTTTTTTCTCTTATTGATTATGGATTGTGTATTTGTTAGGGACCTGAAAAATTTGTATAAATGAATTGGAATGTGATAGTCTTTCTCCTTAATTCAGTTTTTGTCCAATTTCTTAGGTTTCTGTTCTATTATTATAGAAAAAGTGTGTAAGGTTAAAATAAGAAGCTTCTAAAGAATGAAAATGGGTGGAGAGAGTGGAGACCGTTCTGTCGAAGTTGTTTGAGTGAGTGTTTGAGCTAGACAGACGGTGCTAATAAGAGTATTAACCATTTAATAAAATGTTGAATCTAGCAAAAAAAAATCTAGATACCGTGTGGCACGGAGGTCTCCGTGTGCGCACGAAAACACCTCTCTGTGTGAGTGTTTGGGTCAGACACATGGTGCTACACAAGAGTATTAACTGATAAAATGTTGGATCAAAATAATAATAATAATAATAATAATAATAATAATAATAATAATCCAGACACCGCGTGGCATGGAGGTCCCCGTGTACGCATGGAGAAGGTCTCCGTGCAGCACAGAGACCTATCTATGTTTGTGTGTAGAGGCACGAAGACCTTCTCCTATGTCCGAACATTTTTTTTAATTTCTTGATGGTTTTGGATATAAGTCTTCTTCTTTTTTTCTCAAATAACATTTCCTTTTGGGTGCCCCACGAGGGACGTTGCCCCCTAGACCCCCGAACCCCCACGAGGAACGCTATCCCATCTACCCCAGCGACTTGATCGGGCAGGTCGATCCCTGTCAGGGGCGTTGCCCCCGAACCTCCACGAGGGGCGCTGCCCTCGAGACCTAATTCCCGTTGGGCGTTGCCCCCGAGCCCCATGAAGGGCATTGCCCTCAACCCTGCGACCTGACGGTTGATCCCGTTTCGAAGTGACGAACCATTAGAATAACAACAATAAATAAATAAATAAATTATGAAAAAATATATTTTCTCCAAACTAACAGAAATCTCAGTATTTTCAATCTCTAACTTCTTGACGATTGGATTCATAGTTTTTAAGAGTTGGTCCTTATATAATTAAAAATGACACAAAAATAACAATCAAATTTCTTATCATTAGAACTTTAAACTAATGTATCAACTAACGTGCAACGCACATTAACCACACTAGTAATCTAAAAAGGAGGGGGAAAAAATCAGGGAGGGAAACTGTATGCAGACACTTAAAATCATTTTTGTTGATTATGATGATAGCAAATCCAACATTTAACTGATTACACCTAAATGAGGTTGTTAAGGATGATTTGCTGCAAATTCTGAAATGATTGATCAACTAATATTCGTAGATGGGACCCAAGAGCACTAATGTAGCCGTACCTTTGTAGTGCATATTCTCTCTTAGGATAAGACTAATATTTTAAAGTAAACATATTTTAATACACGAAACTGACGGACGTTTACATTTTTCTTTTCTTTTCATTTTTTTTTTAAATTTTAAAGTCTTCTTTACCCTTTTCTTCATAGTCGCGCTATTATTTTCGTAAAGATATGTCAACTTAATTACCTCAACCAGTCGAGGTCGTTAAAATTAATACTCGACTAGCTTGATCCAACAGTCTGTATGGTCAACCTTTTTACGAGAAAATATACTCGATTTTCTTTCTTTAGACATGTATCCTACACGAAATTCACTTTTTGAAAGCACGTTAACCCAAAAACTCTATGGAAGTTTTGATGAAGACAAGACTTTGTGTTTCATTTATGTCTCAAATGGCTCCCACTAACATGAAACTTGTACATTCATCTTGGTTGCAACTATTTTTTTTTTCTGAAATTTGTTTGCAATTATCAATTTACGGTTATTTAAAATAAAACTACTATAGAAGTGTAGTAGTTATCTTTTGAAAGAAAGTAGATAAACGGCATTAATATATTTCAAAGTACCATCGTAAAAGTTGTTAAAAGTGACGAATTATAGTTTTTGAAAATGACTTACTTTTTCTCAGAAGCTGTTACTTTTGAATATTATTACTTTGTCAGAAAATAGGTGACATACAAAATGACATAATATGTGTTGACCAGATGTGATATGATGAAACAATTGACTGTATTTTAAACAATTCAATGATAGGTTGCCATGTGACATTTGGGTTTAGAATTATGTCAATCATTATGTCTATGTAGCGTGATTGGTTACATTTTTTTTTATATATAATTGCTTGTGGTAGTAATATAGAGACAGTTATTAAATAAATACTGTTTGATTGTACAATTTCAAGGCACGATTTTGAGTGACCACGACCCCATGGGACCACTCCACAAGGCCTATTATTTTGGTCACCACTTTAAATCGTCCCTTACCTAATTTATTAATGTGTGACATTGTATGTTTACTTTGTTCATATTTTTTCTAGCACATAGTAGCTTCTAAAAATTTAAAAATCAAGTTGATATAGGCCATGTAATAGTTGACATAGAATTGGATTTACATTAGCAAATTTAGAAATTAAATTTATGATTATGAATTCTTGGAATCTTTACACTAGCAGGTTTAGAAATTAACTTTATGAATATCTACCACCCAATCTTGCAACAAGCAAGGAAGGATTGAGCGTTACACTAGTAAATTTGAAAAGTCGTTTATCTGTACCAATTTTTGAAATATTAATAAATCATTTACACTATTACATCTCGAAGGGAATGTTACACTATTTTTTTTTTTAAACTAAGGTAGTTCACCGATGAATCTAGGTTCATATATGACTTGATATTATTATTATTATATTTTTTAATGAAAAATTCCTTAAATTTCTTATTTGATCTTTGAACCTTTTCATAGTATCTTCATGATTAACTAATTTATTTGAATTCAAAAGGCATTTAATTCAATTTTTAATTAAGCAAAAGTTACACAAACAATTTCCAATTAGAAATTTAAATTGGATATCGATATGTATTCAATCTTCGCTTAATGTTGCACTTACATCCAAAAATAAAAATAAAAAATTGCTGCGTTTTTATCCTCTACCTTTCATTAATTAGCTCATTTTGTTCCTAATTATGGTACATGTCCAAAAAAAGCCGTTAGAAAGGCATAAAGAAACTTATTTACCCCTCATATTTTCGATAAAGGAAAGAAAACAAATATAAAATTGTGATAAATACTTGCTTGTCTTTTCAAAGCGTGCTTGCGGAGTATTTGAATATAAACTATCATAAGAGACTAAATGTGCTATTAACGAAAGATTGAAGATAATAATATAATAAAAGAAAAGTTGAGAACATAAGTGAGATAAAAGATTAAGAACATTTAGTACAATTAAAAATTATTGGCCCAACAAAATAAAATTGTGTATAGCCACCCTTAAGAAAAAGGAGGACCTAAATGTTACAAAAATGAAAGGGTAGGTATTAAGGTTGCCAAAATATTGAGTTGGACCTACTATTGGGGGACCAAACCTATCTTTTTTGTTTTTTTTTTTAATCCAATTTGTATTCGGTGAGGTTGGGTCGGAGACTGTCAAATCTACTAACAGATACTCTCTCTCGCTCGACATTCAGTTCGCCGATCCTTGATTCTTCCTTTTTGTTCCAATCTCTCTCTATCCGTAATGTTCCAAAATTCTCAAGGTATCTAAACAGAAGCTTTGAGGGAGTAAAAAACCAATTTATTGTTTGTAATATTGAAACTTGAAAGTATTTTCTTTCATCAACTCGTGTGTATGTAAGTAACCATTTTTGTTTATGTTTGTGTTCATATTGTTCCAGAATTTTCTATGGAATGGCAGTTAAATTCTTCTCTGTAATTTGAGATCTTACTGGGTTTTTTTAGTTATTACTGCAAAAAGTTGTTTCAAGAAATGCCATTGAGATTATCCTTTTATATATCTGCTTGGGAAATAGTTTTATTTTTCTTGGAATGATGGCTTTGTAGAGTTTTCGGGTTCATATGAGCTTTCACTTTTAGGCGGGTTTTTCAGAATACATTGTAAAAAGGATCCCTTTTATGGAATTGGGATCTACTTTTTACCCATGGAGAAAAGGGTCATAATTTCAGGTTCAGATTTTTCCTTGTCTTTTTCTCACAACAAATTCAAAGCCTAATCATATTTTGTCTGCCCTTTTTCTTGAAAATAAATAACCAGTATAAAATTATCTCTTCTTGTTAATCATCTACTCATCTTTATGTTTTCTTAGTACCAAGAACTCGCTCTTGTTTCGTATCTAAACGTCCGTCTTCATATACCTTGGTGCAGAATTTTTCCAAATTTGAAGCAGAAATGGAGGGGGATCCCTTTGCAGGCATTGGTAATGACACCCATTTGGATGGCAAAACGGTGCAGACATTTCAGAAGAATTTTGTTAAAGTCCAGGATATACTAGATCAGAACAGGGTTCTAATCAATGAGATTAATCAGAACCACGAATCCAAAATCCCAGACAATTTGGGCAGAAATGTGGGTCTAATCAGAGAGCTCAACAGCAACATCAGAAGGGTTGTTGATTTATACTCTCATCTTTCAAATTCTTTCACAAAATCGATCGATGTTTCATCGGAAGGAGATTCGAATGGTGCTCTAAAGTCAGATTCAAAAGCTGGTCACAAGAGGAATAGGTCTGGTTAATTAGGATCGAGATAAGTGTTCCTCATTCTTTTGTATGGTGGAAACGGGATCGTGCCCACATTTTTATTGAAAAGTTATGATTATGTTTGGATTGTGTAAGTTGTAATCGTGACTCAAATTTTCTCATAAGAATTATAGCTCCTAATCTGTTATTCCTACTCTGTATCTTTGTACCTGTATTCTAATTGAATCGAGTATGTTTCTATGATCTGATCTTCTGGCTTCAACTTTACTCGAGGCAGCATGATTCAGTGTAAACTTTTGGCTTTTGTGGATTGATGAAAGATGGTTTTATTTGTTCTTGACAGGAACCTTCTTGTATAGAACCGATTCTTATGGATTGTAACTTTCTGCAGGCTTAAGCTTCCTTGATTTCTTATTAGCCTGAATGTCTTATATAAGAATCTTTACATATTTACACTGTTGATATACCTATATCTTATGTGCAAACACGCTGCGCACATATAAGAGTGGCTGCACTCAAACGACAATGAAGATGAACTCGTGGAATGCTGTGCACGCTTGCCTTCATGGCCGTGAGGCACGGTTCACTTGACTGCTCCTTGGCCTTTGTGTGACTGCAAGACAGATGGATCCACATCGAGCACTCACTATCATTTAACTACTCAATGTGAAACGCATGATAAGCCTTGCCATCCACCACTACCAAATTCCTATACTTTGTTCATCCTCTTTGCTAAAGCAGTAACCGTTGACTTAAGTATTAGTATTTTTGGTCACCACCTTCTCCTCCTAGTGGTTAGTTGAGTATTCTAACCGTTAAGTATTAGCGTTTTTGCTATCAAATGACAGATTTTGATGTCGACCTTTATCGTTCCTTATATTTTGGTTCTAATCTTAGCCCAGAACCAATCTTCTACCAGATTTGAACCGAGTATTAAAGTGTTGGTATATATGCACTTTTAACACTCACTAATCATTTAACTACTCAATATGAAACGCATGATAAGCCTTGCCAACCACCACTACCAAATTCCTATACTTTGTTCATCCTCTTTGCTAAAGCAGTAACCGTTGAATTAAGTATTAGAGTGTTTTTGGTCACCACCTTCTCCTCCTAGTGGTTAGGTGAGTATTCTAACCGTTAAGTATTATCGTTTTTGCTATCAAATGACAGATTTTGATGTCGAAGTTTATCGTTCCTTATATTTTGGTTCTAATCTTAGCCCAGAACCAATCTTCCACCAGATTTGAACCGAGTATTAAAGAAAATTGGTGGCAGATACTGTTTGCAGTCCTGATAATAAAAATCAAAATTCCTTCTCTCTTTGGTTAAGACAATAACAGTTATATTTCAGGAGCTGTATGTGGAAAATTGAGCACATTTTATCTGCAAAGATGCTCTGAAACAATCAAAGATCCAAAAGAAAACAGCTTTGGATAATCTTTTCAGTTCCCAATCACACTCCACCACAAGAAACAGAACCTGGGATAAGAAATTATGCTCTTTTGACCATTTATTTCTTTTTTTTTTTTAATATTTTTTTTATCTGTTCCATCCAATTACAGTCTCTTGGATCCCATGATAGGGAAAGAAAACATAAAGAACTTAAAATTAGAGAAGAAATTAAAATAAATAAATAAATACTAGGCTTGGATAGTTCAAAAACATTGCATTATGGTAACCATGAGATTGAGACAAACATGTATAAGCAATGACAGGGACAAAGATTCTATTTTTAGATGTTACGGAAATAACAATTTTGCAGGTACCCACTACACTGTTACACAAGCCGTGCCCATGTTTGTCCGTCTGTCAAACACCGAGGGTTCTAACAATCGTGGATCACAAGCAAATATAGACCGCTAGCTATGTGCTTCGGCCAAGTTTGGAACCACTGCAGGGGAGGGGCTAATGCATGTCGGTAAGGTGTTTGAATTGTGATAAAAATGAAAATCTTCTTTATTATGCCTCTGTTTTTTTTTTTAAATGCTTTTTATCAACTTTTTAATTACAATTTTTTTTCAAACTAAATTAAAATATGCTAAAACATTTATCAAAAACTTTGTCAAATAACGTCATAGCAACTTTTAGGAACTTTTTAAGAGGAATAGTGATGAAAATCACGAAATATGTAGATAATAATGAGTAATAATTTTAAATACAATTAAAATTAAAGTTTGATTTTGAATGAATAGTGAAAAATAACTTTTAAATTTTCGAAACACATTTTCCATATGCTATATTGTATTAAATATAATCGACATCCTTATCTCTTTTCAACCAGGGGATTCCCTCTTTGCTTTTCATCATCTTTTCCTCTTGGCCCATGTTTCACAAGTTGTGATATGTTGTCCAACTTTTGCTGTCCAATTTATTATCCATTCAATTAATTATTGTCACGTCATTTCAAATTAACATGTCATCAATTTTAATTTTTCACTTTAACAACTATTTAATACTGTTAAAACAGTCTCTCTACACAAACTGACATATTAATAATTAATTGAGTGAACAATAAATTAGACAGTAGAAGTTAGACAACATATCTCAACTCTCGTTTGACAGCCATTTTTATTTATTATTTTTTTTTTTTGGTGGAAAGAATGAATAGCAAATTTTTGAAAAACGTGTGGTTAAAAAGTAGAAAAATATTTTAAAATTACGTGAAAAATATTTTGTTGTGAAAATGTGTGATTCAAAATGAGTATGAGTAAAAAAACGTATTAAAAGAATGATTACCAAACATGGATTTAGTAAGTCCCTCTCTGTAATAAATGGCATTTTATGAGCAACACTGCTATATGTAATATGTGATGTCTTAGCTAAACATAAAGTTAATCTAGCCGTTAAAAAATTGCACCTATTCATCAATAAAGCATGATGTACACCTTTTCTGTATAAATAACTTAATTCTTTTATGAGTGGCTTCCATTAGATGGTAACTTGTTTCTTCTCTTTCATAGGTTGAAGTGAAGATGCGACTTTGTTGGTGGACCCACAAAAATGCTTCCTAATTTTTGGATCTTAGTAAAGCAGGCCCACATGACTGATCACTGGTAGGTCCAATATTTAAAATTATAAACTGAGTCTTTTTTTTTAACCCCGTTTGGTGCACATTTTTTGAAAAAGAATGTATTTTTACTGTTGATGTGATGAAGAATATGTGGTTGAAAAAGAAAGAAAAGTTATTGATGTGATGGAATATATTATTTTATTGAAGAATGTGTGGCTAAAAATGAGTAGAAGAATAAGAATGAAAAAAATAATGTGGTTCAAACAGGGCCTTAATAGTTGAATTGAAAAAAAAAAAGATATCATTTTAAAATTCTAGGTACAATTATCTCCCAAGATATGAATAAGAAAACAATATCCAAAGAATAGATAGTTTTATAAATCAAGGAATTGTTTGAATAAATTTTAGATAAAAAAATTTAAATAGATTTTGATAAAAGTTGAAATAATGTATGGTTGAAATGAAAATTTGATAAAAGTTATGGTCTTATGAAATGTATAGTTAAAATTGAAGTTTGATTAGTTCAAAATTTGAAATTATTTTTATCGATGTTTTATAACACGAGCACTAAATTACAAAACTAAAGATTGAATATGCATTAATGAAAGAGATTAATTTTTTTTTTTCAAATTCCTAGATTGATATATTGGTGCAAGAACAAGTTCATTCTAAAGTTTGTGTTAATGCCTATTTATTCTTTGCTTGGAATCGCCTTTAAGTGTTTATAACTTATAAGTTATGGATCTTATGAAAATATTGATAATTAGTGGATATTAAATTGTAAGTTTTATAAAATGCGTGAATAAAAATATGTTTGACTAGCTTAATAAAAGATAAGGGCATGTTCTCTTTATGTTTCAATTTTGTGTTTTGAGTTTTGAATTCATTTTGAGTTTTGTATTTTGAGTGTCCATTTTGAGATTGTTGAAAATGTGTTCTTTTTGATATTTTGAAATATTTTTTTTGAAAACACCCAAAACGCATTTTGAAAATTTTGGTTTGATTATAACTGAGAACACCCAAAACCACAAATTTGTCGTTTTGAGTTTTATTTGCAAAATTTTAACTTGTTTTCAAAACTATGTTTTCGAAAATAGGAAAGAGAATGCGTTTTCACTATTTTGAAAAATCGAAAACAGAAAACAGTTTGAAAATGATAAAGAGAACATGCCCTAAATTTTTTTGAACATGCATTTAATTAGCTTTATTGATTCATTCATTTGGAGCACAAAAAAGTTTATTGAGTTTAGAATCCAGTTCGAGCAGAAGATAGTGACATTTTAGTGCGAGGTATAAAATAATAAACTCAAAATATTATGGTGTGTTTGGTTTGTTATTTTTAAGTTGTTTTCAAATTTTCAGTTTTACAAAATAGAAAACATGTTTTGTCTAATATTTCTAAAAATTTATTTTAAAAAATAATGAACTTATAACATAAAACTCAAAACACGTTTTTGACTTTTTGAATGTTTTTAGTGAAAATTATAAAAAGACACAAATCATGGAAAACAAACATTTATATTAAATTTTATTTAAATAAAAAAGAAAACTTTATTTAAAAACTAAAATTTAAAAAATAGAAATAAAATTGAAAAAATAAATTCTAAAATTCTAAAGAATATAATTATAAAAAAATATAAAAAATAAAAGTTATAAAATATAAAAAATAAAAATAAGTCAAAATCTTAATGATTATTTACATAAAAATTCTAAAAAAACAAATATTTAAACGAACATAGATAAAAATATTATCAGTCCACCTAATCAATTTTTATTTTTTATATTTTGAACTCAATTTATTATTAATTTTAATTTTTTTTGTAAGATTGATGAACTTTAAAATGTATATATTATTTGATAATATATTAGCATAAAATTGTTCTATTTTTACCGAATATTTAAATTTCACGGAATAAAATGTTATAAAATGATTTTTAAAAATTTCATACCAAACATGTTTTCTAATTATCTATTTTGAGAAATAATTTTTTAAAATAAAAAATTAAATGCATTTTTAGCAAT